CAGGGCGCCGGGCAGGGCAGCCGACCACCAGCACCGGGAGGGGCGCCCCAGGAGCAGGGCGTGCTCCGCGGGAGGTGACGCGGGGCCCACGGAAGAGCAGCGGGGGCCACAACGGGCTCGGGGGGCAGAGAAACGAGGGCCCGGTCTCAAGAACACCGAGGAGATGAAAGGGGCCCGTAGGGCGCGGAGGTGGAGACGAGGGAAGAATAAACTCCAACTCCCACGTCCCATTTACGAAGGAGACTCGGGGGGGCCTGCTGCAGACCAAGATAAAGGATGTTCGTTTTTAAATCTGCAAAACTAGACATGTCAACCAATGTGGGTGCTCGGTCCTAACCAAGGAGGCTGGTTCTAAAGAAAATGAATTTGATTACCTTGTGTTTTATAGAATGCCTGCGGAAAAATATTTTAACGCTCCTTTAATTTCAAGTGCTGGGGAAAAAATATACCAAATTCCTTCTTACTGTACACGACATCACTAAAAAAATATAAAGCTACTGAGGGGGAAATGGCAGGGGCAGGAAAAAAAGAGTTTAAAAAAAAGAAAATTTTCATTCTTTATAAGAGATAAGTACAGGATAAAATATGTTATTCAATAACTAACTAAAGTCCATTTAAGTAGTTTGTATATAAGAAAGGTAAGGAGAGTATAAAATCCAGTATTTAAACTTAAAACATTCAACCACATTATGTACATACATAAAAATACACTGTATATAGCAAAAATATTATATCAAGTACAACATAAAATTAACCAAAACCTTACTTAATAAGTGTCTTTGTAAGTTCATTTCCTTCTGTGACACAGGAGCCGTGAAACACTTGATTAATTTTGGATTCCTTCGAGTGGACGTCGTCTTTGGGAAGACGGGAGTACATCACCTCCAGCATTTTATAATAGCCTATCTTCTTGGTGATTTGAGTATCAAAGGTAGATTCGTTTAGCTAAGAAAAGGTAACAAATGATTATCTTTGATCTTACCAAAGATGAAAAATACTTTATAGGCTATCAAATTTAATACTTAATGACTTTAATGTAGAAAGTAGTTTTAGCAAAGATGTTAAATCACTTCAATAAGAGGCAGCCCAGGGTCTAAACGTGGATGTAGGTATTGATGTGTTATATTCAGGGCAGTGTGAAATAACGCACCGCGTCCAAACAGCGAGCTCAGGGTGCGGGTGTACGGCGTCTGCATAAAATCTACCGCAGGTGTAATTATAGCAGCTGAAAATTCAATTATTAAAAAAATAAAACTTTCAGCTATGTATACTGAAGTCCACATTAACCATTTGCCATTTGGGCATTTCCAGCATCCCCAACAGTATACTGCAGATGCTAAATGATGTCCCCAACCCCCCAAAGTTATCCACGCTCCCATCCCTGGAACCTGTGAACATAACGTCATAAAGCAGAAAGAGGAGTCCGCAGGTGTGGTCGAGTTAAGGATCTTAAGATGGGGAGGTCATTCTGGATTCTTCCTGTGGCACCGAAATAAAACCACATGTAGTAAGAGGGAATACAGAGGGAGTCAGACAGGCAGGAACAGGCAAAGTGACAACAGAGTCACAAGTGAAGAAATGCCATCAGCCACCGGAAGCTGGGAGACCAGGAATGAACCCTCAGAGCAGCTGGGGCAAAAGTGGCCCTTGCAACACCTGGATTTTAGGTCCGTGAAACTGACTGTGGACATCTGGCCTCTAAAACTATGAGGGAATAAATTTCTGCTCCTCTAAGCTTCCAAGTTCATGGTAACTTGTTACAGCAGATTCACGAAACTAACACACATTTTGATACCAAGAGCTGGGGGCTGCCGTAAAAAATGCCCAAAATACGAATGGGCATTTGGGGTTGGGCGGTGGGTACAGGATGGAAGAATTTTGCCATATGTGAGACAAAAAGCCGACAGTGCCTTGTAGAGGTTGTTGGTAGAAATATCGACATTAAAGGCAGTGGGGTCGGGCTCAAAGGACATGAAGGGCGTGGGAGAGAAGGCCCGTATTGCCTTAGAGGATATCTCCATCACGATAAACGTATTTTGGTAGAAATACGGACATTACGTAGCAGCTGGTGAGGTCTCAAAAGGAAATAAGAAATGTATTTTTGCAAACTGAAGGAAAAGAGATCCTTCTTATCTAGTGGCAGAGCACTTAGTTGAGTACTAGTCTCACTCAGCCACAATCCCTGCTGGCTTTCACAGCGAGACGTCATGGGGCGTCTCTTCCTGGCACTGGGACCCTGAGCTGGGGAGCCTGGCTGGGGCTGGGACCCACAGTTCCTCAGGGGGGACCTCCACAGCCGAGATACCCCTGCTGATGTTTAACCAGCGCGTGTAGACGTGGGACCTGCCGGTTCTGCGTCTCTACTCCTCCCACGAGCCTTGAGGAGGCTTACTCTGTATATCCCGTTACAGGTCCTGCTCAGCGGGATTTCAGGCGGTTCTCAATGTGGCTGTTCTGAAGTTCAGATTAATTCTGATGTGGTTGTGGGAGGACCTGAGGTCAGTCCACATTTACCTGCTCCACCATCCTGACCTGACGCCCCCGGGGGGCAGTTTCTACAGGCACTGACCAAGGAGATCCGTCAATTCCTACTAACATTTAATTAATAGTAGATGTACGATACCTTTATAAATCTGGACTTCAACACATCAATAGCATCCACCACAATTTTGCTAAAAAATTCTCTCAGAGCCTCCTGGCCGCAGTGCCCCAGCAGCGTGAGGAGGGAGCGGTCTACGAAGGCCTGGCGGGTGGCGCTGGACAGCAGGTCGTCCCTCCTGAACATTCTGTAGACACTTTCCAGAAGGCTGAGCTGTGTGGCGCATGGACTCCTAAGAAAAACAGAAAGTTATACAGACATTTATGCTTCGAACAAATACTTTGAGTGCCTAATACACGATATGCTAAGTAAATGCCAGTGATTACGAATTAGAAAAAAAATTTAAAGATGGTATATGTTAAACAAGCATGAAACGCCTATTCAGGTCCTCTGCCCACTTTTAAATTAGATTGCCTTTTTTCTGGTGTTGAGTTGTGTAAGTTCTTCATAAATTTTGGATGTTAACCTCTTACGGGACGTACCACTGGCGAATATCTTCTGCCATTTAGTAGGTTGTCTTTTCATTTTGCTGACGGTTTCCTTTACTGTGCAAAACCTTTTTAGTTTGATGTAGTCCCATCTGTTTATTTTTCCCCTTGCCCAAAGAGATATATCGGGGAAAACATTGCTAAGAGAAAGGTCAGTGACTTTCCTGCCTGTTTTCTTCTAGGAACTTCATGGCTTCGAGTCTTACACTTACGTCTTTCACCCATTTTGCGTTTATCCTTGTGTGTGGTGTGAGAATGTGGTCCAGTTCCACTTCTGCACGTATTACCCAGGCTGTCTTTAGCTCACTGTAAGTTCTTGCCTCCTCTCTCATATTTTAATTGACCACACAGGCGTGGGCTTATTTCTGGGCTTTCTACTCTGTTCCACTGATCCGTGCCTGTTCTTAGGCCAGTACCGTGCTGTTTCGACTACTACGGCCTCGGAGTGGTTTACCACCAGGCAGCGTGCCATCGCTAACTTTGTTCTCTCTCAAGGCTGCTTTGGCTGTTTATTCGGGGTTTTTTGTGATTCCACACAAATTTTTGGATTATCTGTTCTACGTCTCTGAAAAAAGCCATAGGTAGCTGACAGTAACTGAACTGAATCTACCGACTGGGTTGGGTAGCATGGGGATTTTCACGTTAGATTTTCCTGCCCGTGAGCACGGCGTATGCTCCCATCTACTTGTATCTTCTTCAACTTCTGCCTTCAGTTGCTCGTTTCTGATTTAGCTTTCTTGTGGGTGAGGGAACATACTCTGTAAGATTTTAATATTTTAAACTTATTAAGACTTGTTTAATGGCCTACCATATGACGTGTCCTGAAGAATGTTCCCTACGTGCTCAAAAAGAATGTGTCTTCTCCTGTGTTTGTGTGGAATGCTCTACAGTGGGTTAACTATGGCATTTTTTAAAAAAGGCAACAGAAAGGAACAAATTACTAATTCATGCTATATCGTGGGTGAATCTCAAAAACATGCTGATTAAAGAAGCCACGTGTAGAGGGGGTGATGGACTGGGAAATGCTGCTGCTTGTTTAATTTGGAGATTCATTCACAGTTTTACCTTCAACTTTGAGTATGTTTGAAATTTTCAAGACAAAAATTTTTTCTTACAAAAAACAAAATAAAATTTAGTTATAAGAGTTGAGTGCAACTGTCACTCAACTCTTTTTTTGAAACGGAGACGATAAATTTCCCGAGGAAACACAATGTATGCAGTGCCTGGCCTCCCAGCTGGAATAGAATGACTTACTTTCTTGCAATCTTTTTGAAAGTGGATTGAAACACATCTTCCATGATGTGGCGCTGTTCTCGACAAAGAATTTCTGTCATCAACTGCAACAACATGGGGCTCTGAGATAATTCCAATGCGTCTAGAAACTGAAAAAACACACAAAAGCAAATGTAAGAATAATAACGGTAATAATAATTTTGTTGGAGTTTCATTTTTGTTTTGTATTTAACGGTTCTAATAAAAATAGAGACGTTATAACAGAATTTCACAGAGAATTAAGAAATGCGAACATTATAATCATTTTTTACAGATATAATAAATGCCCGGCGTAAGTAATTTTGTTAAATATTTAAGTTTTGATTTTTAGGTTTTGCAGACAGTCTTCTCTCTAACAGCTTTTAGGATTTTCTCTTTATTCTCAGGTTCTAAAATCCCATAATTACGGGCCTTCACCGAGGTGGTTCTCCTTCACACTCCAGCTACTCTGTGCCTAGACTCTGCGGAGTCCTATTCTGGAGATGTGTCTTCTCAACAGCATCTTACGTGTGCCGATGTCTAGGCTGCTCATGTAACATTCTCATCTTGACTCTCCCGATTTCCATCTCGATGTCTGTTCTACTTCCTAAGCGATATACTCAATTTTATCTTCTGCTCAACAGAGAAATGAGGCGTCACCACCTTAACCAGGACACAAGACGCGAGGTCGCTAACAGTGGGACAGGGACCCTTCTGGCCCCCTGATGCGCCACTGCTGCCGAAACGATTAGCCTGAATCTCAGGACCAGGCTTGAAGCCTCGCTCCAGCTTAGAGGAAATACAGGGGATTAGGGACCAGTTGAAGAGCACCCCAAGGACGCAGTGAGACAAATATGGGACAACATCCAAGAGCAGTACTCTGGTTTCTTCCAAAAATTGAGTGTCATGAAAAATAAAAGGAGCAGGGTGAAGTGGTTCTAGGTGAAATGACGTGAGAGACATGACAATTCAGTGCGATCGTGAACTGGGTCCTGGTCTGAAAGAACACAGCTAAGTGTGGGGGCCTCTGATGGAACGTGAACATGGACCACATGACAGATACTGGGGAGCGTTGATTTGCGTGGGTATAACAACAGCATCGTGGCTCATCCACAGGACGTGCACGCTGACGCCTTTAGGAAGGAAGCGGCGTGAGGTCTGAAACTAACGTGCAAATGTTTCAGCAAAAACACACAACGAAACGGGCAAATATGCCAAGATGTTAGCTGCTCAATAGAGGAGGTGGTAATACGGATGCTTGTTACGCTGTTCTTTCAATTTTTCTGTATGTTTGGGGAAAAAGTTTCATAAAGAGAATGGGGAAGAGAGAATCTGTGTGGATGGGTGGTTGTGCACTGGTCTTCCCATGAGGCCACGTGGCCTCCTCACGCAGTGGTGCCTGGGTCCCACAAAGAGGGGTCCCCAGAAATGAGAGAGAGGGGGAGCTGTAAGCCTCTTCTCACTAGTGTTGGACGTCACGCAGGGCTGCCTCCCCTGCATTCTTCTGCTGAGTCCTCAAGGCCACCAACCCATCCCCAATGGGGGGAATCAGACTTTGTCTTTCAATGGAAAAGCCACATGAAATATTTCACAATTTAAAATTAGGGGGAAAAAGCGAATTCCAAAGGATTTAGATACGCATCTGCCTCCACAGTTACCCAGCTTTCAAAACGAATTCAACTGAATTCTTAAAGTTAGAACATTTATCTAATTCTGAATATTTCACTTCATCACAAAATGTAATAGAAAAAAACAAACAAAAATCAATGTTTTAATTTTACTTGGTACTACTAAAAACTAACCTTTTTCATGAAGTCCACATAATTATTGTACCGCAGAGTTCCCGGGGGGAATTCTTCAGACTTCATAGGGAAGTTAGAAACGATGATCTTCTCGAGAACACGCTTAAGGTCCTCGAGGTTGTCCCCAGTGAGGCCGGTGAGGAACGGAAGGATGATTATAGCTTGGCCCTGGGGAGCAACGTGGACATGTGAGACTGCGCTAGTCGTGGCTACAGAGCCTACAGGATAAATAAAATGCTTCTAAAGGGTTTGCAAATAAATCTTTATGCAGATTCCAAAAAAGACTTCAGATACCTTCTAGATGACATAAAACACCAATCGAATGCAAAGCTGTGTCACAACTTCTACCCTAGAGGGAAGTGAGCCAACTCGGGGCTAATACATGTAAATAAAAGGACTCTGTATGATGATTTTGTGTGTCATTTCTCCTAAAAATATAGACTCTGCTAGAAATATACCAGATAAGCTCTGATTGGAAAGAACATCTTGAATAACCTATGGGGTAATTTACAACTATTCCTTGCAGAACTAACTCCGAACCTCACACCAAGCTTCAAAGAAACTAGGTCTTCTCTACATCCCCCATGTGGCAGGGAAGTTCCCAGACTCCCTCCTACTGAGAAAATAGAAACTTGATTAATCCCGTAGACCGAACCTTCCAAAGAAACCTTCACGGTCCAGTAAAAAGATGGTTTTCATTAGGGCCACATTTTATTAGAGTGTAAAATCTAATTATTAAAGATCTTTAAAATTAAAGTATGTTCTTGACACTAAGAATTACCAAGGTATTTTATATTACTCAGTAGAAAAATGATTAATATTTAAATTCTGTTGTTCACTAATAAAGCAATTCTCAGAAAAGCCAATTTCAATCATTTCCACCCAAAGACAAGTGTTAATTCTCCTAAGTATGGTAATCTCTTCATGGTTACACTTATCTTTTTTTTTAATCCTTGCCTGAGTATATTTTTTCTATTGCTTTTCAGAGAGAGTGGAAGGGGAGAGAGAGAGAGAAACATCGATGTGAGAGACGCGTCAGTTGGTTGCCTCCCACCCCGACTAGGGTCAGGGTTGAACCTGCAACCAAGGTCATGCCCTTGGCCGGAATCAAACCCGAGGCTCTTCAGTCCTTGGGCCGACGCTCCAACCACTGAGCCAAACCGGCCAGGGCTTTACCACTTACCTTTAAATGTAGACCCAACTCGGAATCAGCAAGGATGCTAGTGTATGTCGTAAAGACTTCAGGGAATGCACTGTGGCTCGTATTAAAAAATACAGACGAATCAATCTAAAGGAGGGGAAATGAAAGCATGATACGTTACTATGCCACATCTCTAATTTCCTTTAACACAGCTTTCGAATTTTTAAATTTCAGAAATGGCCTGTAAATTTGTTCCTCGGCTTCAACATTTCAGCAACTTTGTTCTAAAATATTTAAGCTGTCTGACACGACAGTGCACGTAAAGGCAGGCTGAAAAGATAAAGCGTGAGACATGGCGGTGAGTGTAAAAGGTGACGCAGTAAAAGAACAGAAGTACACAGTGTGAGGTGATCACCAACTTCAGTCCCACGACTGTACTTCTAGGCCTCTCAAAGTACCTGCAGAATCTTTGCCAGCAGGGTCAGCATGGCCACTTTACTTTCGGGAGTGGCGTCTCTGGCCCACCACGAGCTGCACTTGCTCCAGTTCTGCAGAATCGCAGTCGCGAGCTTCAGGCCCTGCTGTTTCTGACGCGCCCGATCCCTGAAGCTCTGATCTAACAGGCCGTTCAAGACCGTGCTCACCTGGAACAGTTGGGTGGTGACGGAGAAAAACTCTTAACATCAAGACCAACATCTATAGCAAAACGCACCTTCATTTCAAAGATGCTCTTGGAAAACAAGGGTGCTAACTTTATAACAGCCGATCGCGTCGCAACTCCTCAAACTGGGGAAGAGCAGCGAAGCAGGTAACCTTCCCGTGAAGCGTGAGGGTCTCCTCTAGGGAACCAAGCTCACGCTGCCATTTCTCCGTTTCCTAGTTGGGGGCACTCTCGACGGGAGGACTAGCTCTCCTTTCACGGTGCCCGCCACGTGGGCGTGTGCACCTGTGCTCGCACATCCACCCCGCCCGTGAGCAGAGCCCGCAAGCTGGGCACGTGCCCTGACCGGGAAGCGAACCTCGACCTCCTGCTTCACAGGTCGATGCTCAACCGCTGAGCCACGCCAGCCGGGCACTCAAGGTCTTTCTTAAAAAAAAAAAAGAAGTATCCTCCACTTAAACCACGTCCAGGGTTCTCCCAGTCCCTCTGTCCAGAGATACTTATTCTGTCCGGAGACTCCCCAGGCTCCTTGGTGGGGAAGGGTGGTCCCCTGACCACAGGGACGGCTGACCTTCGGGCAGGTCCCCTCAGTTTCTCCCTCTGTCCTGCTTTCTCCGGAAGCCCAGGGCCACCACCGCCTGACCCGAGTCCGGTAGCACAGTGGGCTGTGGTCGGTCACACTGCCGCTTTCCCGGACCCTGAAGTCCGAACGGCAGTCTGTGCTCTTGCCCTCCAGCTTCTAAAGTGCTGTCACTCCTGTCCTTCCCTCTCCTCTGTGCCCTTTAGCACTGTCCTTTTCTTAAAATCCCTGTTCCTGTCACTTCAGAGGCATCTGAGGCGGAGGCACATGCATATGGTTTCTATCCATCATCAGCGTAAGTCTTAGTAGTTTAAAAAGCTCAAATTGTTGTATTTTCTGAGTGCTGTGAGTCTACTATAATTTTATTTCTAACTTTAAAAAATACAAATTCTTAGTGTAGGAAATTCCACATACTTCCCTTAAAATGGTTGTCCTAACAGTTAACAGTTTCTGCTTCTCTATAGACCAGGTTAAATTGCAAAGTTTTGTAAGTTTAGCAAACCAGAGTCCACTGTATATTCAATACTGATCTCCAAGGGTTCGATGTGAGGAGACCAGGGGGGTACAGCAGGAACCTGCAGGAAATGACACCTGAGTGCTCAGGACCAGCTGGGGCGGGAGGAGAAGCGAAGGGAGGCTTGGCCTGGGGACAGGTTCATGAGCTCCACTGCCAAACCCTGACAACGGTCACTATCCTTCATAGCTGGGCCTTATAAAATGAGGTCCAGAGATTCTGGGGGAGTGAGAAATTAGAAAAAATAACCAACATTCCAGCATCCATGATTATTCATAAAGGTTCTGTTTCCTTTGGTTTTGGCTTTAAGCATTGGCAAGAGCTCGACACCTTCCAGGAAGAGACCTTGGTTTGTTTTCTATTGTATATTTCAGGAGGACAAGTGTTACATAAGGAGACATACTTTACTTAAGGCAAAACTTCGTTACCATTTTGGGGTTGTCCATAGACGACTTCATAAGCTCCAAGACAGTGAGATCTGGATTCTTCAACAATTCTGCGTTGACTGTTTCTGGGAACAGGCTATAAAAGTACTCTCCGTGGTAGAAGCTGACAATGCTCCTCTGGGAGCCTCCTGAGGACGGCACTGAGAGCACCGCCGTGTCCAGGAGAAGCCGGACGAGGCACTCACACTGCGGGGAAAGAGAAGGGCAGGACAGGAACACACACCTCAGGTGTCAGACACACTGCCTGTGTGTCATTCAAGCAGAAAGTGGGAAGTCACAGGAGAGCCTGGTATTTACTCTGAATTGTATACATTTCAATGAGTCTCCATTTCTAAGTTTCAATCTGGAAAAGAGCTCTTCCCTGGCTCCTGTTTCCCCCCAGTTTCTAGATATCTTACTGCTGCACAGAGGTGCGTATTTTTTAGACGATGTAAGCATGCGACTCATTTACGTCAAGTTCGAATGAAGGAGCGAAGGGGTTTCTGCAGAAGAGAAGTGGGTGCAGAGGGGGCATCTGCAGGGCTGGCTGGCAGGGCTCAACTGCAGCAGAGACTGCTGGAGGCCAGCCCTGCACAGGTCAAACAGCATGAAGACATTTCTGCGGGGTACCCTGGAATTATCCCTCAGGGGCTCCCCTAAATCAGCCACCTTAAGAATTACCAAGGACGGGGGAAGAAGAGGTCACTGTGACAACATAGTTCAGCTTTATAGTCACAAAATGTTCTCTGCCTCAAGTCCTCTTGGAAACAGAGAGGGACAGACAAAAGCCGAGATTTAAAAGAATGTTGTTCTATTTCTTTCATTAAAAAAAAGAAAAAAACCTTCCGGAAAGTCACCTCATGTAAATTAAAGTACTTGTGTAGCCAAAAACTTATGGAACTACATTCCCGTTTTTAAAGACACAGTGCACGTGGCGAGTTACGCTGTTAGGACGGTGTGCCACGTAGCTGTTTTCCTACCAGTCCTCCAAAGGCGAAGGCCAACTCCAGAAGCCCGCTGGCCAGTCGCTTGCAGCTGGGGTCGAGCACAGGGAGGCACTGTTGCTCATGTCCAGGCGCGATGCTTTTATAAACCAGGGAAAGGAGTTTCGTGCCAATATAGTGATGCTGATCTACGGACTAAAATAAAAACCAACAGTAAACTATCCAGCAATGAAATATTAAAAGAACAAACACAAAAAATACAATTTCACACCTTTTAATAATTAAAAGTTCCGCGTTAGCTAACACTGACGACTGCCTTCCAGTCGTAAGGAAGTTCACTCAACGCTGCACCAGAATTCTCATCCAAGTCACCTGGCCTCCGAAGCTCGGCAGCAGTCAGTCCCTAATGCCTTTCAGAAGGCTGCTGGAAATACTCAAATACCCTTTGTCCTGTTTTCATTTTATACTTACAAATTTTTCTATTTACTTTCACATTTATATTCCTGGTGACACCTACATGCCTAGAGCAAGTATGTCTATAATTCCCATTGAAGCACGCATAAAGGATGCTTAAAAAAGGAATATAAATAAACAGACTAGTTAGTTTAATGAAGCTAAGGAAAAACATGTGGTTACCTGGGATGGTAAGACAACCTGCAGAAACCCGGCTCTGTGGAGCTGTTTACATGCTGACACGACAGAAGACAACTGGGCCCGATCCGCATACGCCTCGGGGCCGTATAGGTCGATGGCACAGAGCTCCTCGATGCTGCCAAGTGAGAAAAGCAAGAGGAAGACCAGATGAGTGCTGAGCTCGTTAAATAACCAGGATGTATGGAAGAATGAGTGTGTTCTGTTATAAATGCGTTTACTAACTCCTGGCACGCAGATTCATGACACAGCCCTGGGCAACGACACAGGCCAGCAAGAAACAAGAGGCCTGAGCACCGATCCGGCCCCGGAAACCAACTCAGGGCTAAGCCCCATGCAAGGCCTGCATACCAGGGGGCAGGGAAGGCATTTGCTAAGCAGATGGTTTTCAGACAACTGATGAGACCTCCGCACCACACACCCCACTGATGAGGTTTTCACTTGAGGAGAGGGAGCCGGAGCAGCACGCACGCAGCTCAGGGCACACTGCAGCCTTATATTCCTCCACACGCTGGCGAGCGCGACCCGAGTGCCCACCTCTGCGCTGTGATTCTTTCCCTGAGGTGCGTCTCCAGGATGTCCTTGTACGAGGACCTCTTCAGTGCCTTCATCAGGTTCACACAGACATCGGGAAGGTGGTCCATAATGTAGACGTCGCCGACGTTGAAACCAACGCTCGAGGGCTCACAGACGGTCTTCACCAAGAGTTTCATGAGGTTGGAGTTACATAAATTGTCTTCAAGAAGCTGTAAAAGACAGATTTAAATAAAACACATCTATCAGTCAGGATTTAGATTTTCACTGCAGTGTGAGGTCCGTGACGTTGGGAATTTTTGCCTGGGGAGGGCGAGGGTTGGGAAACTTTCCCTGTAAAGGGTTGGACAATGAATTTATTTGGCTCTATGGGTCACACGGTCTCTGCTGCAACTTCTTAACTCACTGCCTTGATAGTGTGAGAGCCACCATGAACAAATGTGGGGAAATGAACCTGGAGGTGTCCCAATAAAACTTTCTTTTAAAAAATCTTTATTTATTGGCTTCAGAGAGAGAGGGGATAGGAGAGAGAGAGACATTGGTTTGTTGTTCCACTGATTCCTGCATCATTGGTTGCTTCCTGTATGTGCCCTGACCGGGGATGGAACCCACAACCTTGGTGCACTGGGACGACTCTTTAATCAACCGAGCTACCCAGTGAGGGCTGAAGCCTTCTTTAGAAGCACAAGCAGCAGGTGGGAAGTGCCAAAGGGACCACAGCTTCCCAGCCCCTGGGTTAGGTCAACACTGTGTCCCCAGGACGGAACCCGGCACAGCAGGCGCTAGTGCATGTTAACTAGATGGACTGACTGGAGTTTGTTTATATAATGAGCCTGACAGGTACATTTATAAATATATGCTAACTCATGTTTCCTAAGGTAGAGGTTTGATTATAGCATAAAACGCAGTATCTAATAAAAATTTAGAAAAACTGCCCACTGGCTTGGCTCAGAGGTTGAGCATCGACCTACACAGTCCAGGAGATGGCAGTTCAATTCCTGGTCAGGGCACATGCCCAGGTTTCTGGCTTGATCCCCAGCAAGGGGCATGCAGAAGGCAGCCAATCAATGACTCTCTCTCATCACTGATGTTTCCATCTCTCTCCCCCTCTCCCTTCCTCTCTCTAAAATCAATATATTTTTAAAAAATCAGAACTATTCTGTATTTTATTCACACAATAAGCAGCTGAAGTCCCTGCAAAGTTTTATTATTTTCAAGAACAGGTAATGCCTACAGCAGTGACCAGGTAATTTCTTACAGCAGTAAGAAAGCCAGAATCACTTCGAATAGGTCCTTTGCATGTGGTTTCCCAGGGCCGAGTTCTGTCGTCAAATCACCAGGGCAGCGGGTGACCCCTACCTTCCAGCCTCCCGGGTGGATGTTCAGCAGCGTCGTGGTGAACTCCATAACCCGAACGACAATGGTGCACTTGCTGTAATTGTACATCTCCTCCTCCTGTGGGCTGGGGCTGTTATCTGCTGCCCCACCGCCAAAGCTCTTTTCAGCTGCCGTAACATCATGCGGAGCAATGTTTTCTAAAAAGAAAGCCACCGCTTTCCAAAGTGAAGACTGCGTTTCAGTGCCTAGAAAAAATTGCATCAAAATATCAACACTTGTTTTCCTCTAACTCGAGTGAGGTTGATGTAAAAATTCTTCTTTAAATATAGGCATGACGTAGTCAAATTAAAAGATGTTCAATAAAAGCTGAATAAACTGGCACTCATTTCTTCTCGTTTCAGAATTTCAGAATGAAAACCGCCCAAGAGCCTGGCCGACGTGGCTCAGTGGCTGAGCCTCCAGCCATGAACCAAGAGGTTCCGGTTCGAGTCCCGGTCAGGGCACAGGCCCGGATTTCTGGCTCGGTCCCCGGCAGGGGGCGAGCAGGAGGCAGCCGATGGATGACTCTTACCATTGATGTTTCTCTCTCTCTCTCACTCTCCCTTCCTCTCTTTGAAATCAATGAAAAAAACAAACAAAAAAAACCCAACCCACCGATCTTTTCCCCAGAGAGATCCGGGCAGAACTGCACAACGCTGGCTTAGGGCTAAGTCTCACCCACCCAGCACCTCGGACGCGTCAACGGTGCCCTCCCCGAGGAACGTGTTGTAGCACTCCAGCGCGGCCAGCAGCATGTCCATCCACTGCAGGGCGGCGCGCAGGCGGAAGGGCCCCTGCACGTGGGCGAGGGTTGGCTGCGCAAGGATGCCCGACTGCTGGCCACAGCCGCCGCCCCCCTCGAAGGTGTTTATGAGGAAGGAAGCGTCTTGTTTCTTGATAGTATCTTTCATCCACAAAGAAGGGGATTTGTTGCCTTAAAAAAGAAACATGATTAAACACACATCTAAACAACTGTCACGTAATTAACATTTCATGTAATCACTGTTCCTAATTAGGAATAGCATCCCTCAATAATAAACCATGAAAGTAAGTCTTTCAAGTTAAAAAATGTAATCAGAACACAATATGAAATAGTAACAAACAATTTTCTAAATTAAAAACATAAGCATACATTTCTACTACACAAACACAATTATAGGATACTAGGTGAAGACATATTTTGTATATCAGCTATGATACAGAGAACGAATACGATCATATATAGTATATAAAGTACAGGACGTAACATTACAACACATTCCATACTACAAAAGACACAGGATCCTTCTAAGCTTTAGAGCTACAAGAAGCAATTTTCGTCTCCTCATCCATGAAGAACAGCCCCAGTGTAGTGAGTCCTCCCCTCTTTCCTAAAGATCCCCGGCTCCTGCAACCCGCAGGGCACTGCCCTTCTCTCCCAGAGGCACACGCCGGAGCCTGCGCTCACCCTAGGCTAGTACCCAGGGCGCCAAGTGGGTAATCGAGGGCCTGGGTCCGTCCTGAGGCACAGCTTTCCATGCCAAAGCTACCAGGCCTGGGGTGGAATCACTGGAGGAAACAGAGCAGTAGGTTTATTCCTGAGAAGCTGAGTGATTATTTTAAGTCTGTAAGTACAGTTTAATGGTTTGGTGCAATAATTACTGAGAAGCAGAGGTTCCCTTCCTCGCTTTAAGATCACAACGACCTGAGATTATTCAGACTTAGGGGTCTAGCGGTTTCTTATTAATTACACATTGAAATAAAGCAACTGTATTATTTCATTAGCTATTAATAAGATTTTAAAATCTTAATCGAATATCATGTTAACAACTACGATGGGAATCCAGCTTTTCTCTTTTTTTAAATGGGGTAGAAAAGCAAAAATGTAGGGGAATATAAAGCGATGCTGGGGATTCTAAATTTACTTCCTCGGTACCACCTGACTAACATCAAAATAGCATTTTTTCTTCCCTTCTCTAAATCTTTAAGAAATGTACAGCCATAACTTATCACTTGTCATACAACTGACCTGTAATGATTACTAAACATACCTAATTTTATATTTATTAGAAACATACGGTTTGTGACGTTCACCTAAAGAACGGCAAGAACACATTTTTAATAAGGACACATCTCCAAGCTACTGGGAAAGCGAAACCCATCACCTGCAGGGCGCCACACTCACCGTACCTGGCAGTAACGGAACAAACTTATAAAACAGCTCCATGGATTTGTGCCGGAATTCCGTCTGGGGCCGCCCGCAGTTGGCCAACAGCCACAGGACCACATCCGACAAGCACAGCGAGGCCGCGAGGGGGAACCCGCTGTGGAGAGAACGCAGGGCCCGCACCATGCAGCCTGACAGCTGGCGTTTAACCCACCCCGCAGTCCAGAGGCAAAAACGCCAGTCCGCCACAGGGATGCCACAGAAACCTCATTAAAAGGCATTCAGTTATTTTTAACGTATTATTACCCGAATACAATAAAAAATCCCAGGTTAAACAGGCCCTAAAGGCTGCTTACCTTCATTTGTTTTTTCAGGGAAAAATTAAAAAATGTTTTTTAAAAAAACAGCACCATGTCTGTTCATGTATCCTTTACACTGTACTTGAAAACAAAACAGTGTTTAATATCTAAAGCAGCGCTCCTCAAACTGGGGTCCCTGGCCCAGCTGCCTCAGAAATGTGGCAGAAACGCAAATTCTCGGCCCGGCCCCACCTCAGACCTGCAGAAACAGATTCTGCAGGCAGGGTCCAGCTACCCATGTTTTAATAAACCTCCAGATAATTCCGATGCACACTCAAGTCTGCGAGCCCGTGATTTAAAGAGATATAAGCTAAGGGTAGAACCTGGAAGAATAAATTTTAAAATAGAGGACATCTTACTATCCCGTCTACAGGGGCCGATGGTTTCACAGAGGAGCTGCCGTCAGCAGACACTGAGTCCCCTGCACAGGCGCAGAGGGGCTGATGCAGGGCCCCCTCCTGCCTGAGAATGAGACTCGCGGGGATGGAAACGAGAGGAGAGGCTGGAAACCACCCAACCACCCAGCCTTGGCTGTGAGCAGTTTCATCCCATAATTCTATCACCCCATGTCTGTCAAAATCCTACTGTTCCAGTATTTCGGTTCTTCTACTTCAAATTTACTCCCAAGTAGTTCAAAATTATCCTAGTCTAATAATTCCACATCAAACTGGTATTCAAATTAGCGCAGGTAAAATAAATTCTGTTGCAAAACTAACTTTCAAATTGTACCCACCCAAGCGAGATCAAACGTACACCGGCAGCCAAGCAATTCCAAACACGAAGCTCTTCAGTGTCCTCGGAAAACTGACTCTTCACACTCCCACACATCCTCGTTTAGAAACCAGTTCTTCCCATTTCCACACATCCCTCCCAGAGTCTCCTTCATTAACCGAGGGTTAGGCAACGTCCCCTACCGTGGCCAACGTCGTTTCTTTGCCTCATTTAGAGAAACGTGCTTCTTTTCAACGATGCGCCGCAGGTGGTCGAGGGCATCGTGACACTGTTGAATTGTACCTATTCAAGCACAGAAAGCACAGAGACACGTTTCCAAGAAGGCACGTGCTGGCTGGTCGTAAGTAAATGGGCATTATAGATTTATCGGTGTAGTTTTTAATTAGAGGTAATTTTACAATAAAGTATCCTTTCATCCCTCAGAATATAGACTTTAAGTAAAAGACTTACTTTGCATGTCCAAAACCAAAGCCAAAACCCACGTTTAAGAGCGCGAGCCAGCAGGGCGCCCTCACACACAGCAACTCCGCAGCGCCGTAGAAACCCGCCCCCGCCCCAGCGCCGAGGGCGGCCGCCCGTGGTGGATCTGAGATGCAAGAGGCTTTGGACGGCCTACGAAACCCACACCACGCAAGGGCCTGTGCATCTGTTTCAAGGCTTCATGGGAGAGGTAAAACTTGACTCCCCTCCTTGTTATGTAGGTTGAACTATAGGACAGCGTCATAGCACGGCCACCGCAGGGCAGAGATGAAACAGTAGAACCATCCCCAGGTGTCCCGAGTCATTCAGGAGAAGAGCCTTACAGGCCTTATTCTACCCTTTACCAAGAAGACGTTTCCTTTCTATGCTTTTTAAATTCAGCGGAGATTTTTAAAAGAGTGAAGTTTCACTTGTTGAAAAATATATATATATATATAAGATATAAAGATAAACAAAGCAATAGTAAATTATATTATGGCAAGGACTGAATTTTAAGCATTTCTGCCCACAGCAGGCTGTCAATATAAAGGGTAATAGAACTCAACCTGCCTTTAAAAAAAATAAACAGAAACCAAAATCTGGAAAAACGAAAGAGAGGTTCTGCCCCCGTGCAGCTATGTGACCGAGATCAGGGCTTCCCTCCGGACCCCGGCCCCGGCTGGAGCGGAGACTGAAGGGGGACGTCTCCAAGAAGTCTTCCAGCTCGAAAATTCCACGAAGCTCCTAACAGCTTCTGTACAAGATTGAACTGCAAATACTATCATTTGTTACTCTCTTAGCTACATTAGCCGATTCCAGACCTAATTTCTTTATTTCTTAATTGTGGTCAGAAAAGCCTGATCGCAATGTTGTAATGAGACCTGTTCTACCTCCTAAATCGCCATCACTGAGTCAGAGGCACCGGCCACACCTCCGCGGTCATTACGTCCGGTTTCCTCCACGTTGCACAATCCGCACACTTTCACGTTGTGTGTCACCACAGCAACTGGTTGGCTTCATCGAACTCACGATGAAATCGTCCCACCTGCCCTGTGCGGGATCCCTGCGCAATCAGGGGTCAACCTCGGAGCCACAAGGGGTGCGGGGTGAGTCTGGGGAGGAGGGAGGGCGCAGCAGACTCTTTTACAAACTGGAATGGAGGCCCCTGAGGCTGTATGTCCCCTTCACACGTATCACCCCAAATGGGAGACGAGAGGAAAGCACACCACTTTGTGACAGAAGGAGCTGAGGCTTAACCGGAGAGGAAAAGCTCTTACGACGCGTAAGGCAAACAGGACGGGTGCGCCGAGGGGCTCGGGGAGACCCACCTAGGGACCTGTCGTCCGTATGCGCTAAGGCCAGGCTCTCCATGTACGTAACCAAGGACTCGAACACGAACTGCTCCACCAGGAGCTCTTCCTCCCTGCAAGACAAAGAACCGACCCTCACGCGAGGAAGCAGGAGCAGCGACGGGGACAGGAAGGGACGCTACTGGACAGTGCAGATGCGCTTCTATGTTTAACTTTTGGGGAACCGCTGCACCGTTTCCCACAGCGGACGCACCGGTTCGCGTTCCCCAGAACAGTGCGCAGGCCCTTTCCTCAGGGCCCTTCTCTCTGGTGACGGCCACGCTCACAGGCGTGCAGTGATGGTCAGTGTGGTGTCCATCTGCACGGCCAATGACGCCGACCACCTTGCACGTACCTGCCGGCCTTCATCTAGCGTGTCTTCTCTGGAAATACGTCCATGCAAACATTTTAATTAGGTTGCTTGTTTTATCGCTCTTGAGCTGTATAAGTTCACTACATATTTTGGGTATTAGCCCCCTTGCTGAATATATAATTAGCAAGTATTTCTTCAGGACGCTTTTTCATCTTGTCGAACGGCTCCTTTGCTATGGAGAAGCTTTCGGTTTAATGTAATCTCACGTGTTCACTTTTGCTCTTAGAATCAGATCCAAAAAAATCACTTCCAAGACTGATGCCAAGCAGCTTATCACCTGTTTTCTTTTGGGGTTTTATGGTTTACAGTCTTACGTTCAAGTATTTAACCCATTTGCAGTAAGTTTTTGTGTACAGAAAAAATAGCACGGCCTCCAGCACACACTAATACCTGATACATGAACACGTGGACACACAGACGCTAAGTCCCTTTTCCAAATCACTGTGGTAACTTGACGTTACCTTTTGCACTCTCGGGCCATGCGCGTACTTACCTGAATTCCCTGTAGATGTGATTGAAAGCCAGTGACGCTCCCAGCCTCTTGAAAGCATTCGGGTGAAGCGCCAAGCTGTACAGCCGCTTGAAAAGAGACTTGGTGTTTACTGCACTCCTCTCCTGCTGCTGTGGGGTTGTCTGTTTAATGGACCATTTGAGGAATTCTCGAATGCACCGGCCACAAAAATCTCTCAAAGTGCTGTCAGTGGGGTCCACGATTCCATCCTAAAACGGAGCATAAATGACAACCGCACACCCTGGTCTTCCTCTGAGCACAACCAGAGCATGTGATAAAAGTTAATTTACAGCACTATTCAAGAACAAAATAAACACTGGGGATACCAATGTATCTAGAATCCAGACTCCAATAATTTCCATCTGACATAATAACAACACTTTCTTTCAAACGAATCCAGATACTGAAAAAGCGATTTAAAAAAAGGAATACTTTAATCAGTAACAACACAGCAGTCTCTCCTTCCCTGAAGAAACACGAGGGCCATATCCTGGGAATTTGTGTTGTTGATCTGACCTTACAACAGAGTCTGAGATGCTTTCTTTACTGGGGTTAACGAGAGCAAGACCCTTGCAAGTTCCCGCGCACTTGTACCGCTACGTAAGGAAAGGTCGCACGGAGATGTGGCTCTGGAAACAACTTTCCGTGGGAGCCGTCTCCACGGAGGCACAGTCTCCAAACACCCGAAGAAACAGCTACGGACGTTTGGATGTTTTTGTTTCCCTCTGGGCATCGTTTCCCCTCAGATCCATGTAGAAAAAGTTTAACTTGAAAAAGTACACTGAACCCTGAAACGGGAGCACTTCCTGCCTCTTTGCCACATGCAGAATCTCTGATTACGGTGTTAATGAGAATTCAAGAAGGCAGTAATAATAACTTAATGTGTTTATGTTATAGGAGGATTCACTGGCAGATGCTGCAGAGAAATGAACCAGAGACACAGTGATGCCGCCCGGCAAGTAAAGATGTTCAGTAGCTACCTCCCTACTCCCCACAACATGGATCTACCCATCGGGGTCACGCCAAGAGTGAAAGGAATACTATTAATAATTACCTGCACGATAGGCGTGCCTGGGGCTGTCCTGGGCAAACCGGGACGTGTGGTCACCCTACCCACAACGTCCTGCTATTCTGCCCCAGCACACATTCCCAGCCCAGCCGGCTGATTTCAAACTTAACGGAAAGCAACAGGCAGATCCAAACTGGGATCAATTCACAAAACCAGGCAACGATGGGACTTCGTCTGGACAAAACCGCTACGTGTTTCACTGGGACTTTTGATTCCAAAGTTGATATATGGCAAAACTAAAATTTTAGGCTAAAATAACAGGTAAAGTCAAATAACATAACATTCAGTGGGTCAAATGTGAAGTTATTTGTACAAGTTCAGAAAATTATAATAAAATACGTGTCAAAAGACACTAAAGCTTTGGTTAACCTCGTTTCTCTGCCTTCAGCAAACCTGTGACCAGATGCTAACAATTCTGCCTCTACGGTCTCAGGATGGTCTTATATAAATGGTGAGCTATTGTTTCTAGGGTCCTTTAGTTGATGAATCTGAATGCAGGAGAAAACTTGGTAAGCTTGAAAAAATCCTTTTACTCTAAAGTTAATTGCTGCGCTAGAGGTATGTTTTAAAATGGGGTGCTGCGATTCTGAGAAAATAACATTTTTATTCACTTCTTCCACCCTCAACCCCCCACCACAGCCTTAATATAGATCAACTCTGCCAAATTTATAATCACTCGCCCCAAAATCAGAAAACTAATTAAAATGTGAGTATTTGCTTGTAGGTATTTAAAAGTATCACTTAAGCAAATAAATATGGCATCCTAATGATTAAAATGGCAATTCACCAATTCTCTCAGAAAAAAGGAAAAGACAATGCAATCTAGCTAAAGGCTATATTTTGGTATCTTGACAAGTAACTTAAAGAACTAAATATACATCAAATATAAGGAGCCAATGGGAACAGCAGGAAGAGTCGACCATCACTTACCAATATCGTCTCTAGTAAGGCCACCGTGTCCTGACTTTCGAATTTCTTATTGTTGGTGAACCAGTGAATCAGCTGCATAACCAGGGGCTCGTACAGTTGCCTGGTTACCTGGAGAAAAAAATACCACTAGTTTATTTTCTTCCTGTTGAAGTTATTTTATCCTGGGAAAGACTCCATTTAAGTGGCACAGGCCAAATTAAGTGACACTACTACATGGTCTTATTAGTTCCCTTTTCCAGTTAAATTCTATAATGAACAGCTTCTTCCTATTTTCTCCTTCATGAAAGTCCAGCAAAGAAAAATATACACCCAGCCCGGCTGACGTGGCTCAGTGGTTGAGCGTCCAGCCATGAGCCAAGAGGTCCCGGTTTGATTCCGGGTCAGGCACAGGCCCGGGGTGCGGGCTCGACCCCCAGTCGGGGGCGTGCAGGAGGCAGCTGATCCATGACTCTCTCATCACTGATGTTTCTCTCTCTCTCTCTCTCTCTCCCTTCCTTGCTCTGAAATCAATAAAGACATATTTAAAAAAGGAAAAATACACCCACTAAAACTCATTGTCCTCTAATTAAGAGGGCGGTTTAGGGTACATGTTGGTGGTTTTACAATATTCATCTTCATTAACTGATCCTGAATGTGCGCTTGAGGTGTCGTGGAGCAGAGAGAGTATCATTATTCAACTGAAAGGAAATAGACAAAGAGGATGCCAGACTTCAGAGCGCCAGTCACCGGGGAGGACAGCTGCCCCCTCCATTGCTGCCAAGGGGAGGGAGGGACACCTGGCCTCCCTGGAAGTGGTGAGGACGCCGAGCTCTCACTCTGAACGTCAGAGCGCAAGTAAATCTCTCCAGGGGCCGCACAGCCCTGTGGGTCTCTGGTTTTCACAATCCAGGGTGTGTCCCAGCCTGAGCTCTCCCTTCTGAAAGGAAACACTCGGGAAAACAGTGCCCATCTTACTGGAACCTTGGGAGCTTCACCTAGTGGCCCAGGTGGGACCATGGGATCATCCTGGAGAGATGGGAGAAGTTTTACCATCCCTTAGGGTCAGAGCACTGACCTAGACAAATGGTTATGGACCTAACCCTCATTGTACGAGCCTTGGCCGGTGTGGCTCAGTGGGCAGAGCACTGATCACCTACCTGATCGACATCACAGGCCAGCTGAAGCAGCACAGGAAAGGTTCGCTTGTAGAGCTGGTACAGAGGTGGGGAGCCCTGGCTCCCCTCGGGGATCTGAGTGGCTTTTCCCAACATAAACATAACCATGCTGTGCAGAAGTTCACAAGCGGCAACCTGAAGTAGGCCGGGGTTCAAAACAGTGTTACGTTTCCATGTGAACAAGAGAAGATCTTGAAATGAAACTCAAGTCAGCCCTTTTTAAAGAAACCATCATGCCCAACTATAAATTAACTGCCTTTCTTGTTAAATAAAATGAATGTGTCTCTGTTCACTTAGATCTTTAACCAAGAGTTAAGAACTGACATTTAAAAGCTTTAGACACTGGGATTAATACATTCATAAGAAATACGTTTCAATGCTGCCATATTGTGGAACTTCTATTTGTTAGAACGTTTTCAATGATCACTATGACAATGACTATCTGAAGCATCCTCAAAATTTACAAGTTAATAGAAAAGCCTGAGATTATGTGTTTCCCATCTCCCAGGTTCAGAAGATAATCACTTTTAAGTGTCCTTTGTACACAGTTTTGGGTATATTAATGTTTTGTCAGGTTATTATCTATTAAGATGACTTACGTGTAGCTTTCATTTATCAATGACATCTAATTCTGATAATTAAGTAGTTTTCTAATGACTACATTACAGAACATATAAAATTAATAATATTGAAATGGCTGAAATATATTATCTATTACTAAAAAATGTACGTCTTAGAAACAATAGACTCCAAGTAATCGGTGAAATGAAGAATAAAAGTACTTTGGTTTGTCTGTCGCTGGCCGACAGAGCGAGCTCCGTAACCCGAGGCAAGAACGTGTCCAAGTAAATGACAGGCTTCATATCTACAAATGGAACTGCAAAGCTGAGTCTTTTCTCTCGATCCCATGCGACGTATTTCTTCATCATGTCACCTGAGGATGGAGCTGTTAAAGAGATTGAGAAGAGCGTGTCGTTTTTTCATTCAAGATCCCTCTCCTACCCGCTGCTCCACAGCTCGTGAGTGACCCTCAGCAACTCATTTTACTTTCAGGTGAAGCAGGTTGCTCATCGTTCCTTTTTTTTGTTATTTCACACGTGTAGCTACTGGAAATCACTGGTGCACTGTTTCTAAATTTAATTTAAAGTAATATTATTTTTAAACAAGTCTAACAGTCCAGGATGTTGAATTTTCACTTTCAGTAAAGACTTAAGGTAGTCTGTGGAAAAATGATAAACAATATCCTTATTAAAAATCTCTTTATAACACTTATTTTCCCAATATACGCCACAACTTCCTAAATAACTAAGTCACTAGTATAAATGAAATTTCAAATGTAAAAAGAAAGATGAATTTTTACTAAGCAACAATGTTAATTCTCATTAAAAACACTCTAAAAATAACCAAATATTAAGAATATCAGGTTTAAAAAATACTGACTTTGAATTTCTGAAACAATATTTAATACAGAAAAGAATGTCAAATTGGATTCTGTTCCAAAAAGAAAAATATGCTTAATAACCAAACTAAAACATTTCCCCTGGGAATGTGCCACCTTCTTCAGGTTCCTGCGTACAACCAAACCCCGTCATTAGGAAATCATGCTTTGTCCTCTTAACTGAAAATATGCAAATCACATACAGGAGTAAATGTGGGAATATACCATGACCTGGACGCATCTAAATTAAGGGACAAATATATCTACAGAGGGTAATTGACTTTAATGAAAGGTTGACTCACCTGTCACAAGGTTTCTGCTTACTTGCCCGCCGAGGGTGCCAAGCATCCGCACCACTCTAACCCGGACCTCTTCTGCGGACAGCGCTTCCCTCTGCAACCGAACGACCGTGTTACACGTGATGCCCCCCGAGTTAAAAATTGAAGACAATCGCACGAGGAGAGAAACACTATTTTACAACCCTCTCTGTTGTTAAGGTCTCCCAAAGGCTCATTATATCCTGCGCAGTACGGCTGTTAATTTTATTGCTAATTCAGGGAAGAAACATCTCTCTCAATTTTGCAGGTGCATGTCCAATTCCTAGGCCAGCGGTTCCAAAGTTTTAGCAGAAGGAAACGGGGTGGAGGGAGGGTGGCCAAGGGCAAAGAAGGTCAAATGCATGGTGACAGAGAGAGCCCACTGTGGGCGGTGAACACACCATGCAGCACACAGAAGATGTGGCACAGAATTCTACACCTGAAACCCAGGTAGTCTCATTAACCAGTGTCCCCCCAATAAATGTAATTTAAAAAGGTTTTTCTAAAGTTTTTCAAATCTTAATTTTCACTTTCTACCTAAAAGTTATTTTCTCTATACTAATACAATTTTCTCTATTTACCTCATTTTTTCTAATTACATTATATGTCACATCTGAAAAATACGGTCAACAGACTACAGAAAAAAAAATACTGACATGGCTTGAACTTGACAAAATGATACATTTAAAATCCAATCAGTAAATAAGGCATCTTATATAATATCAGTATTCCCACTGTTTACTGAATATGAACTAATTACTTTGTATGATCCACTAACTGTACTTAAAGATGGAGACAAACTGGGAAACAAGATCAAGACAATAAACTAAATAGTTAATTTAGCTACATTTTTATTGCTAAAAATATGCTGAGATGATTTCTCTACTGCATTCTAATTTATATGTAAGACCAACCTTTAAAATAAAGAGTCTTAGTTTTCACAAGCGTTAGAACCTGATCTTTGCCTTACTTAAGGTAAAGAAACTACGAGGGATTTCTTACTGATGAAACTTTCTTCGTCCGTTTCAGATGCTTCAACACAGCTCTGTTAAATCCTTGCTGGGCCGCCCGGGAAAGTGCCGACTCCTCCCAGCTGCTCCTGTTCTCATCTGTCAACAGAAAACAAAAGCCAACTCTGAACAGCACTCGCTCACTCACTTGATTAATAATGGGGTGAACACACTATGCTACCAAACCAAGACATTACAATCCTAACTTTAATTAGGATAAAAAATTAAGTTTCTAGAATGAAAATATGTTAATAGTGGTCTTGGTTTTAAGTATCGTTGTCTACACAAAGAAACAGGATTCCTTGAAGAAGTGGCTAAGTCCAGGGACTGGGCAGGAAACGCACCAAAGTAATAATCTGAGGTGGTGGGGCTTCAGGAAAGGAAAGTTTTACACTGTGCACCCAAATTTTATATAAGTTTCTGATTATTAAAGAAAACTATTTCTCTACGTAACCACCACACAACCATCCAAGTCAGGACGCGGCCCTTGAGACATGACCCACATTAATAATTTGCCCCATTCAGGCTCCAAAACTGGGACCCACTCTTCATGAGCTCTGCAGATATATTGAGGTCTCATAAAACCAGACACAGTGAATGAAACCTGTCACTTAATGTTTCCAGACCAACAATATTTAAGTTGAATAATAAAATAATCACTAACATAGACGGAATTTTATAAAATAACACTTGATTTTCTGCTTTGATGATAGTAAAGTGTAAATTCTTACCAATATGTGTGTTTCTCTGAACGGAATCTGTGCTTCCTGTGATCACAGTGTCCCTTTCCATCCTGGCTGGAGGAAATCTGTCCCCTAGGCTGTAAGTACTACTTTTCTGGGCAGGGAAAAGATTTGCCTGGGATTTTTTCTCTGAACCTTTTCCCAAACCTGTTTCTCCTATAACGATTCTTCTTAACTTGTTAGCATTAGAGCTTCATCAGTTATAGTTGGAAAACCAATGAAAATTGAATGAGATTAGGTCTAAATATAAAATTTCTGTTCAAATTTCTCCAAGTTTTAATTCCTGTTTGATTCAACAAACATTTTTTACAAGGCAGTCACCCAAAAGCTATAAGGAGTTCAAGATACTTGAGGTAAGTTCTTACCCTCAAAGACTTTATAAAGGAGAGGGGACATAAGTGAACAAAATGAACAACAGGTTTAATGCCTTGTTCGGTTCCTGTGTCCCAATTACACGTAAAGGAACTGGGGAGATGATGAAAATACCAACCAAATATGTTTTGAATATGTTGGGCGCATGTTTCAGAAACTGCAGAACTATCAATAGCGGTCCGATTATAATTATTAACACTGTCCTTTTACTTGCTACACATCGTGATTCTTTTAAACCTCACCTGACAAGGCTGAAGTTTTCAGATACCCGTCCAGGCTCGGCAGGATGTCCTTGTAATGGGGCTGAAGCGCTCGCCTGCTGACGTGAGCTGCCCACTCCTCCAGGGCACGCAGGCCTACGTCCGCCAGCGGGGGGTAGCTCAGGCCCAGCTTAAAAGCCATCTACGTGTTAACACAAACGTGGTAAACTGAAACGCGGTCGTTTAAGATTTAAAGAGAAAAACACTACCCTTTAGTTATGATTTCTAATAAATAAGCCTTCCTACTGCTTATTTTTATGCCAGACACTGCGGGAGGCATGAAGGTACATCCCAGGTCATTATTAGATAAACAAGCACTGCTAGTCTACATGGCTGGGGACCCACTGCAGACCTGCAACACATCCACCTGTAAGAGAAGCTCAGCGAGGTCACGCCAAGTGTCCCAAGTGCCAAAACTACTAACCAGCAAAAGTAGAACCTAAACCAGGGGTGTCTGGTTGGTGAGCACCTACCGTGACCGCCGTGGAAAGACCTGCCATTTCCGTGTTTTCTAGGAATTCATACGCATATGAAATGGATCTGCTCAAGACAAAGCACCTACCTGCAATGCGGGGACGTAGGCTCTGACATCCAGCTCAATGATGTCATGTGGCAGGGACAGAATCAAGGTCAAACAAGAGGCCAGGAGTTCGTCTTTGTATTGCTTCATTTTAACCGATACCTTAAGAAAGAACAGAAAGACAGTGCTCACACCTGAACAGAGCCTACGCTTCGAAGATCGACCAGGAAATGTTTATCGTATTCTTAAATGCAAAAATGCTCACGTAGCCTCTACCTGGCATGGCCATGTCCATTTTCAAACTAAACACTGGCCTCCAGGGAAGGTTCACTTCAAGTACTTAAATCCTATGACATGGAGAAGCTAAAGAATCTTAATTTTCAGTTTTCATCACACAAATTATTTGGAGAAAACTCAAGAGGCTTTTGAAGTGTTTTTTAATCCCTGGATCTGGATAGAACAAACCAACTTTTAAGTAATTAGATGATTTATGAACACTATGATTTTTTTGGACATACATTCATTTTTAAATAGCCCATGGTAACACTGGATAAATCATTTAAAAATTACCTCTTTACCAAATTTTGCAAATAAAGCAAAGCAAGATTTCTTTTCTGGGTTCTCAGGAGACTCTTTCTGACTCTTAGGACCAACTCCCTGTTGAGTAAAACGGTAAATTAGTACAGTGAAGAGTAATCAGGTAACTGTGCCCTAAAACCGGCAGTTTTCAGCCTTTCTTCTGGGGGGGGATGAATCCATTCACTCTGCCAAGGTTTCGTGCAGAGGGGAAGGAAAAGCTAGTTCTGAAAACGTTTCAGGCAGAGGCCAGTGAGAAACAGCTGAGCCGGGAGGCGGGTGGCTGGTCAAGAGCTGCAGGCCTGCCAGGCCCACCCTCCCCATCTCGCTGCACACACACTGTGAGCACTGAGACCTGCTCGTCCGGCGTTAACCAGTCAGACTGCTCACGACGGACCAACGCCTCAGGTACACTAGTCCAGTTACTCTCAAACTTCTCCAGCCCCCGAGTGGCCTGTGGTGTCCTGAGTAATGCTGGTGCTGCCGGTAGGACCGCACTTTAGGAACCTCTGCTATGCCTGGCCAGTGTGGCTCAGTGGGTTGAGCATCACCCCAAAAGGTCACCGGTTTGATTCCCAGGCAGGGCAAATGCCCAGGTTTCAGGTTGGATCCCCAGTTGGGGTGCGTGCAGGAAACAATCGATATTTCTCTCTGCCCCCCTTGCCTTTCCTCTCTCTCTTAAAAAAAACCAACATATTAAAATAAAATATAAAAACTTAAAAAAATCTTTATAAAAAGAACCTCTGTTAATCTAACATAATTAGCCAGGTGCTTGTAAATCAGAACAGAAAATGCTATTAACTTTTTTAAGAGTGTCATCCGATTGTCATTCATTTTATTAGTTTTTAAAAAGACACATAATAAAATTAGATTTTAAAAGGCAATATGCTATAATCTCATCTTTTTATAACGTTCATACAGATTCATGCAATCTAAAATAGCCCAGGCATATTCAATGTCCTCCAAAAAACACTTACCTCAAAATACTTTATTTTCTTGGCATTACTCACGGCAACCGAAAGCAACTTGTAGAAACCGCTAATGAGTGGCAGCCGTGTACACTGAAAAACCAGCTCATACGCAAATGGGTACACCCACGGCCCAAACAATTCTACATGCTTCTCAGGCAGGATCTCTCTGTAAAGACAAATTAGAAGTTTAACGTAGAAATTTTTATCATACTATTTTTATTCCGCTTTGAAATTATAAGGCATGTAATTAAAAGGTCTATGATTCCACTACACAACATTTTTAGGTATATCTATAGTCCTTTTTGTTTTCGACCTGAGGATCTTTTCAATATAAAAATACTAATTCTAAGCTGGTGTATTTAGATATATTTTAATGATTCATATAAGCAATTTAAATAAGTCTCCTGCTATTTTATTTCTTATAGCTACGTAACGATTTTTCTTATATTATAACCCAAAACTGATCATTTTCACTCTTAAATAATTAGAGTTTTAAAGAAATACCTGCAAAATTCCACCAGGTTAATGAAAGCTGAAAAGTCTTGAGGTCTGGCCGGATGCAGGTTAGCTGCCGGGTCTGAAGTGGGGATCACCCAAACACTAGCAGGCTCCTTTCCACCCTGAAAAACGGTACGAAAGAGACATTACACCCGCCAATCACACGTCCATCCAGCAAGCACCCGACTGACTTCGAGCCAAGGCCGGGTGCTGGGAGGAAGGCATGCAAGTGAGGACGTACAGGCGGGTCCTCAGAGCTCATGGCCCGAGAAAAGTGACAGGACGCACAGAAAACGCCCCGTCTTCTCTAACAGGGTGCATGGGAGACAGAGAAAACTGAGACAGGTACAAAAACACAAAGGGAGGAGCATCATTCCTTCAAGGCCCAGCAGCGAGGCCACGGCAGAGGGAGGACCTCAGAACTGGCGGTTCCTGGACAGGACCCACACTGAGCCAGAAGCTTCGCACTGAGAAGCAGCCTAGTTAACAGGGTTAAGCAGCCGCAACTCACTGCTGAGTTACACGAGGTCTGTGCGATGGACCCAGGGGAAGCGCTGGACGATGCACGGGGGGCTGAGGCCGGGGGGCGCTTTCCCTGGGAAGCGCTCACCTGGGCGACGGCTGGCCTGCTGGAGCGAGCGGGAAGGGAGGGAAAGCGGGAGCAGAGAGGGAGGGAAAGCGGGAGCAGACAGGGAGGGAAAGCGGGAGCAGAGAGAGAGGGAAAGCGGGAGCAGACAGGGAGGGAAAGCGGGAGCAGAAAGGGAGGGAAAGCGGGAGCAGAAAGGGAGGGAAAGCGAG